CCTGTCTGTCCTTGAGCCAGCAACCTTGCTGTGCCACAAATCTGTATCTTACAACCGAGACGTTATAGCCTGAAGAAAATTTCCACTCCTCCACAAGGTCAATATTTGAAACTCCAAGACTTTGGAAAACCAGGCCCTGTGAAGTACATTTGCTTTAAGAATCTTCTACATTCTAACTGCTCCCCACGGTTCCTGAAAAAATTGAATCATATGAGATATTTCGGCATGAACAATCCTGATGTATACCCACCACATAGAGAGCAAGGGGGCGCTTCTCTATAACAATAACAAAAACTCAAAGGTGAAGAATAACTTACTCCTTACTAAACATTTCCCAATGAAAATTCTATCCTATATTTATTACCTGTATCAAGAGCATAGCTGAGCAAGGTAGCAATCACTAGTATCATTTATAGATGATGAAACCACATCTCAAGATTAAGTGACTTTTCCAAGATCACTTTTGTTAGAAAGTAGCAGAGGTGGAATTTCAACCAAAGTCTTCTGAGGATGAAAGTCCAGTAATCTTGGAGACATTTTTTTTTTTTTAATGGGCAAAAGAGGTCCTGTAAGTCATTCACAAATTTATACCAAGAAGTTCATTTCATAGCATGTGAGGCATACAGTCCATACCAACCGTAATAAAAGGTGGCCCCATTTTCTCTGGCGGACACAACGAACATACACTTTATTTATTCCCAGATGTTGCCTATCTGTATCTGATGATACTTTAGAATTCTAAAAAGTCAAAGAGCCCTCCCACTTCTGTTAAATCCCATCAGATTCCATAGCTTTCAGAAAATATTTTCCTTGAATATGCCTAAATAATCAATTTTTACCTTTGCATCATTAAGAGGGTGATATGAAATAGTAGTTTGACTGGTACTGATATTAAATAGCATCCTCAAATACTGATCACAAAATCCACTTTCACTGTTCATTTTTGTAATTATATTATGAAATTTTGGATGTTTTAAAATATAGTGCTTCAATAAATAGGGTAATACAATGCTAGGCAACATAGAGGTTCATGTGTTTTGGAGACACATACATGTAAGTTACTTTTATGCAAAATTTTGGCTTTCCAAAAGTCTCTATAGTTTTGTCAATTGAATTTTCTCTCTAGACATATTAGATACAACTCAGTCCCTCAAATGAACTGTCTATTTTATTACATATTTATTACTGTTTGTTTGTTTTCACATAGGATGTTCATGCCTGTCTTTCCAACAGTGCTTAGAACCATTTTTCTACTGATCTTCTAGTTCTCACATACTCTGGGAAACCTTTACATCCATCCTTAATACCAGCGGTTAAGAAGAGAAGCACATGAAAACACTCTGTAAGTTTTGATGCTAGTATTGCACTATTTGAATATAGCAATTTCTTCTTTTATTTTGTNTAGGAGCCTCCAAGAAATGACTAAGTTAACAGCCTTGCTGTCACTCAAAGACAAGACTAGTAAACATCTTATGAACAGGTAGCATTCTCAAGAGGCAACTTCTAAAGAACTAGTTTTTTTTTGTTTGTTTTACCTGAGAAAAAACCACTTTCTTCTTTGTGAGGCCAGCAATGTGGCTCAACACCACTGCTTCCCCATTCTTGCTTACTGGCTTCCCAGGCATGGAGAAGGTACATCAATGGATTTCCATCCCATTATTGGTGGCCTACATCTCCATACTTTTTGGCAATAGCACCCTTCTCTTTATCATCAGGGATGATCATAACCTCCACGAGCCCATGTACTATTTCTTAGCTATGTTGGCTGCCACAGACCTTGGAGTCACATTAACCACAATGCCCACAGTGCTGGGTGTTCTGTGGTTAAATCACAGAGAGATTAGCCATGGGGCCTGCTTCTCTCAGGCCTACTTTATTCATACTCTATCTGTCATGGAGTCAGGCGTCTTGCTTGCTATGGCCTATGACCGTTTCATTGCCATCCACAATCCCTTACGGTACACCTCCATTCTTAATGACACCTGGGTAATCAAGATCGGGGTGGCAGTATTGACAAGGGCCGGCCTGTCAATTATGCCAGTCATTATTCGCCTGCACTGGTTTCCCTATTGTCAATCCCATGTACTCTCCTATGCTTTCTGTCTACACCAAGATATCATCAAGCTAGCCTGTGCTGACATCAGCTTCAATCGTCTCTACCCAGTTGTGGTTGTATTTGCAATGGTCTTGTTGGACTTTCTCATCATCATTTTCTCTTACATTTTGATACTCAAAACTGTAATGGGCATTGCTTCTGGAGAAGAAAGAGCCAAGGCCCTCAACACATGTG